CACAGCTTGCAGCCGAGACGCCTGGGCCTAGGGTTTAGGGTTTAGGGTTTAGAGGCTTCAGGTTTGGTGTTTGGTACGGTTATAGTTGGGGCTGAAAGTCTTCCATAAGGGCTACAAACCCTAAACCCTAAACCCTAGGCTGAAAGTCTTCCGTAAGGGCTAGAAAGGGGGGCTTTGGCAGGCTCTGCCAGCTTGTTCCGGGCTCGGGTCATCAATCCCAGAGTTTGGCCTAACATAGCGGCCTTAATAAATAGTATAGGTTTTGGGGTGGTATATTTTACTAGAACTATCATAAGGAACCCCCAAAATAGTATAGGTAACTATTTAGGCACCTATATTACAGCTTAGGGCAAGGGTTTTCGGTTCGGGGGTTAAGGCATGGGGGTTGACAGTGAAGGTGGCGGTTTCGGGGTTTAGGCTTTCCGACTTAAAGGTTTAAGGTTTAGGGAGTTAGGATGTAGAGCCTCAAGCTGTGTGCGTCTGCTCGAGGGCTTCTAGGTGCTTGGAAACCCTAAACCTAGACCTAAGCACAAAACCTCCAAACCCAAAACTACGGCTGAGGGGGGCTTGGGGATTACGGCGCGGGCATGCAAGATCGCAGGAGTCGAATCACCTCACTGTTCTTTTGATTCAGAAGCCTTCACTAAACTTGCTGTTGTGCATTGGGGTTGGCCCGGGTTTTTGCCATTTGGTATATCGAAAACTGCCAAGCAGCCGTGGCAGTCACACGTGCACGTCCTCATAGAGTGTACAGTTTGAGGTTCATGTTTTGGCTTGTGCTGCTCTAGATTCTGTTAGGCCTTTCATTTAGACCCCTAGATCAATCATTCAGCAGGCGACGTCTAGGCCAGAACCGTTGATGAAGATGACGGAGATGTTGCCTCAGCAGATGCATCACCACAACACGCTGAAGCCTGTAGCGGGACATCCAGCTTCAACTGCTCAAATTTTCAGCCTAACTTGCAGCAGAGCCTCTAGCAGTGTCTATACCCTGTTCAACCGGGAACATGCGAAGGGTGACACCGTCAATCCCACCACAAATGCTCAGACAGGTCACGCATCTCATTGACGTACTGAAGGGTGCCGCATTCGATCTGCTTGAAGACGGCAGACG